TGTGCTCCGCAATGGGAGAGGCTCGTATACCGCAAAAAAAAAAAAAAAAAAAAAAAAAAAAAAAAAAAAAAAAAAAAGGGGGGGGGGGGCGGAAGAAGGGGGGAAAGCAGTAGGAGGAAATTCAAGCTCATATGCTGTTCTGGAAGCCAAGGGAAGAAACTGCTCTTTCAGTGTGCATTTCTCTTTTCATATGTGTATTGGCCATCTGAAGCCTGAGAATTTTATAGTCATATCTTTTGCCCTTGTTTCTCTTTTGTTGACTTTTAGGAACTCTTCATATGCTCTGGACATAAAATCTTTAAATATATTGCAAATATTTTCTCCCAGTCTGCCACTGTCCTTTTACTTAGCCTAGGGAATCTCAGATATGAGAAGTTTTTAATCTTTAAGTAGATAGGTCTGTCAGTTTTTTCCTCTATTGCTTCTGGATTTTGTGTCTTACTTAGAGAGAGCTTCTTCCCCTTCCCCCACCTCAAGACATAAAAAATATCCTTCCAATCACAAGGTCCAGAAGAAAACTTGGGAGATTTTTTCCTTTAGGAGCCAGATCAATGCTTGGCCCATAATGGGTGTGAGGTCCCTGTGCAGAAGTAAATGTAGGACCACCTGGCTGAGGACTCCTTCCCACAAACCCTCAGGAAACCAAGTCTACAGTTTTGGAGGTTCATCCATGTGCGTGTATGTCCTCCTGCCTCCCCACCCATCCTGACTTATAATCAATGGTTGTTTGGGTGAAATGACTATGGATGAGCTTTTTTTTTTCTACTTTGCTGAATCTTCCAAGTTTTCTTCAATAGCAAGTACTACAGGCTCTTTAAAATGAAAAGGAGGACTTCCCTGGTGGTCCAGTGGTTAAGACTCTGCACTTCCACTTCAAGGGGCGCGGGTTCAATCCCTGGTCAGGTAGCTAAGATCCCACATGCCGTGCAGTGCAGCCAAAAATGTTTTAAAAATAATAATAAAATGAAAAGGAAAATGGAAAGTTTGCTGAGAGGCACAAAGGATAGTGATGACATAAGTGGAATGGGTATAGGTCTCATGGGCAGCTTTGGACAGCCTAGGCCAAGAGAAGGGAAGGTGGACTGTGGACATTCCTAAGGTGGAGAATTGGAAAGATGGCACATTTTCATCACTTTGTAAAGAAATCCCATAACCTTTAGCTATCATCTCCCTATCCACTCCCTGCCCCTTCCCTGGCTGGCCCTAAACAGCCACTAATTTACTGTCTGTCTATAGATTTCCCTGTTCTGAACGTTTCATATGAATGGAATAATATCATATGTGTCTTTTATGCCTGGCTTCTTTCACTTAGCTTCATGTTTCAAGATTCATCCATGACATTGTATTTATCAGTACTTCATTCTTTTTTTATGGCTGAATAATATTCTGTTGTACAGATATATGACATTTTACTTATCCATTTGTCAGTTGGTGGACGTTTGGGTTGTTTCTACCTTTTGGGAATCATAAATAACTGCTATAAATATTTACTTGCAAGGACATATGTTTACATTTCTCTTGGGTATATACCTACGAGTGGAATTGCTGGGTCACATGGTAACTATGTTTAAATGTTTGAGGAACTGCCAGATGGAGATCATGTTCTTTTAATTAATCTAAAAATTATAATTATGTTATTATTATAATATTATTCTAAATTATGTTCTTTGGAAGATATTTTCAAATACAGAAAAGTTTTAGGATAAAACCATTTACTCACCATTAATTCCATCACTCAGAGAATACCCTTGTAGGATACTTATCTGTGCATTTTTTTTTTAATGATAAAAAGAAAATTTATTTATTTATTTATTTGGCTGTGCCGGTCTTAGTTGTGGCACGGGGGTCTTTTAGTTGTGGCATGTGGAATCTTTAGCTGTGGCATGCGACCTCTTAGTTATGGCATGTGGGATCTAGTTCCCTGACCAGGGCACGAACCCGGGTCCCCTGCACTGGGAGCATGGAGTCTTAGCCACTGGACCACCAGAAAGTCCCCTGTGCATATTATTTTTAATGGGACCACGTTTGGCATAATATTTTTTAGCCCGTATTGTAAAGATCTCCTCATGTCAATAAATATCTACATCAATGACTTTCAAAATTCTTTTACTCTAGGAACCCTTTCTCCAAAAGATCATTTTCCAAGAGCCCAATAGGTAATCGTTCAATAATCAGCAATTATTATTGGGCTTGCCAGGTGCCAGGCATCCCGACCCTCCCAATACCTGTTCTCTTTAAATGCTTCAGCTATTGCACAGTATAGAGGAACCACCTTTGTTGTCTAGTTCCCTATTGAAGGACACTCAGCTTGCTCTCCATTTTTCATTGTTATTATGAACATACATCTCTTCTTAAGAGAAATCTCTAGAAGTAGGATATTGGGGTTAGAGACCAACCTTGGGCTTGGGCCTATTCAAGGTTCTGGGAGACGGGAGGAGAGGTAAATGACTTGGTCCCTGTTCTTCAATAACTCAGATTGAAAAAATGAGATTCAGGAAAGGGAAAAGGAGATTTTGATAAATAAAGCCCATTCCTTCCAGCAGTTTCTCTTTAGGAATTCATTCTATGCATATCTGTTGCATCATTTAAATAAATGTTCAGCATTAGGGAATTGAGTAAATATATCAAGTAAAAGAAAGCAAGGTATAAAACATTCTGGCAAGTCCAAATTGAGATGTGCTGTGTGTGTAAAATGCACTTGGACTTTGAAGGCTTGGTACCAAAAAAAAGTATGTAAAACATCTCATTAAAATTTTTTATATTGATAACATGTTGAAATGATAACTTTTAAAATAGGTTAAATAAAATATTAAAGTTTCTTTTTCCTTTTTTTTGTTTTTTAAACACCCTTCCTTTGTTTATTTTGTAATTTATTTATTTTTGGCTGCATTGGGTCTTCATTGCTGTGCTCAGACTTTCTCTAGTTGTGGCGAATGGGGGCTACTGTTTGTTGCAGTGTGTGGACGTATTGCAGTGGCTTCTCTTGTTGCAGAGCACGGGCTCTAGGCAAGCGAGCTTCAGTAGTTGTGACACGCAGGCTCAGTAGTTGTGGCACATGGGCTTAGTTGCTCCATGGCATGTGGGATCTTCCTGGACCAGGGCTCAAACCCATGTCCCCTGCCTTGGCAGGCAGATTCTTAACCACTGCACCACCAGGGAAGTCCTTTTTTTCACTTTTTTAAATGCAGTTACTAGAAAATTTTAAGTTACATATGTGGCTCATATTTGTGCCTCCCCTTTTGTTTCTATTAGCTAGGACTGTTTAGACTGACTCCAGAAGAATATGCAACAAATTATAGTAGTGACTGCCTCTGGGGAGGGGCCCTGAAGATTTGGGTGGGGTGGGAGACATACTTTTGTCATGTCCCCACCCTCCTCACCCCTCTCACATGGGATTGGGGTCTTCCCATTCCCTCCCTCCACATGTCTCCTGGCCCACCCAACCCCCTACCGCCATGCCCTCCCTTCTGCCACCCCCACCCACTGCTCCTTGGCCTGAAGGATTGGGGCTGCAGGGGAAGGAACTCAAGGCCGCAGCTCCAGCACTCCTGAGCTGCGACCTGACAAGCCAGAGGGCACCTCTCCCCGGGGGAGATGGGGTGCAAGAGTAGCTTACCACCCACTCACTTTTGGGTTCAGCCTTCCCACCACGGTCCAGGAAAGATGGCTCCCTAGGAGGTGATCAGATAATTAGAAGATGTTCAGTTAAAACTAGTGACAAATTCAGCCTCCCTGATTAAAGAAACACCAATTAAACGTTGGCATCACATTAGCCAAACCGTCAGTGGGCATGAGATAATTCCATAACTGGGTTCTGAGGTTGCTGACACCCTCTTTGGCCCTCACGGCCAAAACTCATGGCTAGACCAACCATTAGAGCCTCCTCTGGGGCTGCGGGAGAAAACTGGATCCCTTGGCATCACATCTAATCAGAGGCTATGGAAGCACCCATCAGTTACGTGTCAGCCCCCACCGCGGGTCCACCTCCCGCACTGGGGGCTCCCCGCGGGAATTACGCTTTGGGGCTGCTCTGAGCTGCCAGTTGCAGGGTCAGGGAAGCTGCGGGAGTAGAGGCGCCTGGGGTGAATCTCAACTCCACCATCTGCACAACCATGTGACCTTGAACGAGTTAATGAACTTCTCTACGCCTCATTGTCCCCGTCTGTAAAGTGGAATGGAGAAAACAGACCGCACAGCACAACTGTATTCTGCAGACTCCGGGAATGGAGGCTCTCAAGATGCCAACCGGTGCTTGCGAGTGATGTTAAAAGGCGGGGGTCCCTCTGAGGCTACCCTCGGGTGTTGTCGCATCCTCTGAGGCCCTCTTCGCTGGAGGCCCTCTACACACCCTCTTCGCTGGGGGGGGGGGGGGGGGGGGGGGGGGTGTCTTGGATGTTACTTATCTTGGGCGTGTTACATTATGTGATCCCACAGGCCTGTACCTGAACTTCCTGGGAAGTCAACCTTCTTTGGCAGCTCAGATGAATTCATTGAGAAGCGACGACAAGGTCTGCAGCACTTTCTCGAAAAGTGAGTGGACTTGGCAGGCTAGCACTTGCCTCCTGGGGGGGGGGCAGGGGGGGGGGGGGGGGGGGCGGGGAGGGTGGTGTAGCTCCAAACCACATACTGAGAAGCGGAATTTGAGAAGCCAGGCTCCTCGAACCGTAGCTGGGAGGGAGTGCGAGGGGTGTAAGAGAAACCCTAATTCCTCCACCCCACCCAAAGCCTGGAACTGGGCGAGGCCCGGCTGGTCCAGCCTCCGCGCCTTCCACCACACGGGCTCCGCCCTCGGTCCCGCCTCTCTTCTAACCCGCACCCCCATTGGTGGCGTTCGGCGGCGCGGCCGCTGTTATTTTTCGAATATATAAGGAGGTGGAGGTGGCAGCTTCTGCCAGAGGCTTCTCGGGCTGGTGGCTGGTCCCTGCGTCCCTCCTCCCTTCCCCACCCTCCCCGTTTCCCTCTCCTCCCTCTCTCCGGCCCCGTAGCTCTTCCTCCCTCCCTACCCCCTCCACCCCGGGCCGGCTCCCTACCTCGTCCCGGCCAGCTGTGCCCGGCGTCTGTGGGTCGCCCTTCGCCCAGCCCTCCCGCCCCACTGAGATGGAGCTGCCCCAGCCGGAGCCCGCGGCAGCCTCGCCTCTCAGTCCGGCCGGCGTGCGCGGTGGCGCCCAGCGTCCCGGCCACCTCCCGGGCCTCCGGCTGGGGGCTCATGGCCTCCTGGGGTCTCCGAAGCGCGCCGCCGTTTCCTCGCCGGTCACCACCCTCACCCAGACCATGCACGACCTCGCCGGGCTCGGCAGGTAGGGCGCCCCAAGGATACTGGATGGGGGGTGAGAGGCCCGCATTAGGGTTTAGTCCCGGGCCTCTTGGGAGCCCTGCCTGGGTGCCAAATGGGGAGGCATCCGGGACAGAGACTGCTTCAGGGGCCCAGGACTAGGGCTGTGCTGTTCACACCCTCCAGGTGACTTGTTCTTGGCCCGCACAAGCCTCTGGAGACCCTCTTGCCCACCTCCACCATGCTGCCTTCCTAATCTCAGCCCAAATCTCCACCATTTTGCCCCAGGCAGGGGATTCTGAGTCTGGAGGGGGAACTTGAGGGTGGCCCTGTTCCCTCCACCCCCAGTTCTTTCCTGGGGTTAAGGGGTTAAACTCTGGTCCTGCTCCCCGAGCAAGCCTGCAGCTCCAGCCTGGGTTGTCCTTGGAGCAATAAAGACCAGTCTTGGCCATTCCTCCAGAAAGGCTTGTGGATGGGTAGGGGCCTGAAGAGTTTAGGGGAAGGCCCTCCAGGGCTGTCTGCTGCCCCACAATCCCCCAGGATGATCCCAGTCCACCTCCTCCAGCCTACCTCCTTGCTCTTGCTCTGGGTTCACCTTCCCCTGCACCCAGGAGAACGTTAAATCAATCAACAAAGAGAAGACACTTAGAGTCTCTGTAGAAGGCCTGAGAAGAGGGTAGGCCCTTGATGCCATCACCTCCCTGGGACAGTGCAGAGGCTGGATGGGCCCTCCAGAGGTGGGTGGCTGGTGGGAACATGGGCCGACCAGCCCTTGAGCCCCATATTTACCTTTCTCCTTCCCTGGGTCCCTGCTCCCTTCCCAGCGAGACCCCAAAGAGTCAGGTAGGCAGCCTGCTCACATGCCTATCCCTGTCCCGTCGGGCGTCTGAATCCTCCCTGTCGTCTGAGTCCTCTGAATCTTCTGATGCAGGTGAGGCCCAGGGGTGCCAGGGGAGTTTGGGGGGCTGCCTTAGCCTCCCCACTTCACTACTGATCAGACTAACATCCTTACCACAACCTGGTGGGCCCAGCAGCCTCCCTCTGCCCACTTCTGGTGGGGCTTACCACGCCCAGCACAGACTGGCTGGGCAAGGTGGGTGTTGGGTGGGGTCCTCTGCGGGAGATGAGATCTTACCTATTTAAAACCAGGCGCCAAAGTCCTGAACCACAGCCCCACCTGGGAGGCATTAGGGCTGAAAGTCTGTCATTTTATAACATTCACTTGCCTTCAGCTTTAACTTTTTCCTTTAAAAAGCCATTATCTTTTCTAGAACAGATTATTTTAAACCAGTTCTAGAAAAATGCTTAGCAGAGTTCTGGTTTAAAGCCTACAGGGAGGAGTTTCCATAGTAAAACAGGGAGTGGAGCCCTGTGTGATTTGGCAGTGTGTCAGCCCTTGGGGTCCATGGGTGGGTTTTGTTTCATTTTTTAATATGTCAAGACCTAAAATAACAACAGGTTTTTTTCCCTTTTCTGAATAGGGTTGGGACATGGTGGGGGAAAGTGTGCAGGAAATGGCACCACTTTCAAACCAATGCACTCTGTCCTCAGGTCTGTGCATGGACTCTCCCAGCCCTATGGACCCCCAGGTGGTGGAGCAGACGTGAGTAGAGAAGAGGGACCACACTACCAAGGAGGGGGAACCTGCCCTGGGGAATCTCAGTTCTACCCTAAACTCACTGGGAATCCTGGGAGAGAAAACAGACCTCTCTGGATCCCCAATGGGGGCACTAATTGACCTTCCCATGTCCTGGAATTCTGCTCCTTGTCTCAGGGAAGGGTCTGCTCTCATGGGAGCAGGTTAGAGTGGGTTCAGGGCCGGGGTGGTAGGAAAATATGGTCCAACTAATTCAAAGTTTTTAATTTACTTTAGGCCAAACAAAACAGTTGCTGCAAGCTGGTTTGGCCCTTGGCCATCCTATCAGTAACCTCTGGTTTCAGTGACATTTGACCCCCTGGCCAACCCCTGGACCAGGCCTTTGGTGAGGGGGAGTAGAGAAGTTGGTGGGCTGTGCTCAGTATAGTTCCCTGATTCTTGGTTGTGGGGCATGAGTAGTACCTTCCAAAGCACAGCTGTTCCCATCCAGCTGATCATGCCCCAGCAGGGAGAGCAGCTGTCAGGCATTACTGGGAACAGCTGGGTATCCCTGGCCTGGGCTAAGGGACTGTGGCTTTGGGTTTAGGGCAGGGGCTGTCTTTCCTCCCATTGCCTTTGATCAGACTGGGCTGGGCTGCAGGTTTGTTCATAAACAGGAAATGGGGAGAGCACTGGGTGGTGGTGTGGGGACTGCACGTTGGGTTTTGATGGTAACACAGGACTGTCCCTGCTTTACCCCCAGGGCCCAGGTGCAGACTGAAAACCAAGCCAATTAAATTGGTCATCCTGATGCCAGGTTGGCTGGGCACAGCCACCCCCCTACTCGGGGCAGGGGCATCCCCCTGACACTTTAGCCCTCATTTCCCCCCACCACCACTGCACCTGCTTTGATGGTTACACAGAAAGAAGTGTGTGTGTGTGTGTGTGTGTGTGTGTGTGTGTGTGCACATAGACACACAAAAGCCCCGCCTGGCAGGTGGTTTCTGGTAACATAGCTAGCCTCAGAAGGAACATCTGTTGGAATTCTTTGCCTGCTGGCCTCTTCTAAGGCAGGAGGAGGGGGTAGGACAGAGTCTGGGTCCTGGAAAATTCCACAGGAGGGAGGAGAGGTTGTGACCCTGCACATTTGTCGCTAGGGGGTCTGGTACAGCAGACTGAACCAGGCCCCTGTCCTGGAGGATCCAGGACAGTCCCACACAAGGGACGGAAGCCCAGCCTTTCTGGCATCCAGGCCCTGGAGATATCCACATTGTCAGGACAAGGCCTGTCATCATAGGATGGATGGATGCCTTTCCTGGCAGCCATATGGCCCTGCTGAGGTGATTTGCATACAGGTGGAAGGCCTGTGGGCAGGCTGGTGAGACTGTTGCCTTGGTAACTCCTCAGCCACCCTGCAACCTACCCCAGCTGTCTCTGTCACTGCCATTCTCCAGGCCTCCTTCATTCACGGCAGCCTTTAAAATCCCAGGCTGCCTCTCATCTCCCCTTCCCCTACACCTGGGCCCCCTGATAGTCTGCATTCTTCCTCCCTCCTCTTTCCCCTGGCCTGAACCCTGGCCCTGGCCCGTGTGGACTAAAAACGTAATGCTGGGGGTGGGCGATGGGCTGTGAGGGGAGCTGGGTTGCATGGGACCCTTCTCTCTCCTAGATTTGAACAGGCCATCCAGACAGCCAGCCGAGTTATTCGAAAGTAAGTGCTTGGGCCTTCCTTACGCAGGCTCCCCTGCCCCTTGTGGGTGGAGTAGGCCCAGGGAGGGTGCTTTCCCAGGTCCTCCCAAAGGGGTGCACAGGGCTCTGTGGTGGAGGGGGAACCCTGCATGCTCTCTGTCACGGCCCAACTCTTCAGCCCTGAGGTGTCCCTGTTTCCTTCTGCAGTGAGCAGTTTTCTATCCGACGCTTCCAGTCCTTGCCGGTGAGTGTCCTTGAGGCCCATCAGGAGGCTCGGGCTCGCTGGCCAGGATTGTGGAGGGGCAGGCGGGACTACGGTTGGTTCCCAGAGGGTGGACTTGAATCGGTTGGGTGTCCCTGGTCTGGCTGTGGGAGCTGGGGCTTTGGAGGTGGACAGGGGAGCTGGGGGAGTTGGAAGAGGGATGGGAGAAGGTAGGGCCTGGGCTGGCACCAGAGGAATGCAGCCTTCTGTACCTGCTGCCCTCCTGGCTCTCTAGGGGAGGCTTCTGGGCCACAGCCCTGTGCTACGGAACATCACCAACTCCCAAGCGCCTGGCACCTGGAGGAAGAGTGAAGCATGTGGCCGAGCTGCCCACAGCTCTAGGGAGGACAAAGAGAATGTGCGCTTCCAGAAGACCAGAGTGGGAGCACTCCAGGGAGAGAAGGGGGCTTGCTGGGATGGTTCTCTGGCATTTGATCACGCACCCCCCTCCGCTCCCTGTATTGCCCGCAGGATGGATTTGTCTTCAAGATGCCGGGGAAGCCCACACATCCCAGCCATCCCAGCCTGGCAGAGTGGGCCAGCCGCAGAGAAGCCTTTGCCCAGAGGCCAAGCTCGGCTCCCGACCTGATGGTATATCAGGAGAGCTGACCCATGCAGGGCAGGCATGCACGCAGGGCGGGTGCCTGTGAAGGCAGCCTGGGGGACTTGAGGGTGATCCTGAGCCCTGAGGCGCTGGGAAACTTTTCTCAGAAAGTTTGGGGTGGGGACTGCCTCAGGGCCCCACCCCTGAGTCGTCTGTGTCTGTTCGTCACCCACACAGTGTCTCACCCCTGAGCGGAAGATGGAAGTAGAGGAACTGACTCCCCTGGCCCGATGCTGCTTCTCCCTGACCCCAACCAAGGGGGCTGCCGAGGAAGATGATGGATTCGTGGATATCCTGGAGAGTGACTTAAAGGTGAACAGCCTTGCCCTGTCAGGCCCCCTACCTCTCCCTCCTTGGGATCTCAGAAAAGGGGAGAGCTCTGAGCTCCTACAGCAAGACTATGACCTCACTTCAATGTCAGAAGAAGAATTGGAGGTAACTGAGTCACAGCCTGACCTCTGGCCAATCAGAGGAGAGGAGGTGGCTGGTGCTGCAGTGAAGAGCAGATGGGTAGGGTGGAAGGAAGCCTGGTCCTCCTGCATGGCCACACTTCTCACAGTTCTATGCAAGCCCCTGCAGCGAGTGGGGCCCTGCAGCTTTCTAGTTCTGGGGGGCTGCCCTGTGCTCTGGCAAAGTGAGGGAGGTGTGAGCAGGGTCAGGGAGGGCTGCTGGCCTGAAGTTTGCTGGGAGAACTGGGAAGCCTATCCTGGAGGACTCGGGGCCTTAGAGGTTGGACCTTTGCCTGCGAATATAACCATATCCTTGCTGATTTGGCCTCAGGAGGATGATGTAGTCCCCCCAGGCATGGAGAGCCTCATTAGTGCCCCACTGGTCAAGACCTCAGAAAAGGAAGAGGAGCAGGTGAGCCTCTGGAGAGGCCCCTCAGAATTTGGAGGGGTGGGGCCCTACCCTCCAGGTGGGATTTGGGGTGGAGAGCAGGGGCTGGAAACTCTGACCCCGGACCTGCCACCTCTGCCAGGACCTCATCATGTACAGCAAGTGCCAGCGGCTCTTCCGCTCTCCGTCCATGCCCTGCAGCGTGATCCGGCCCATCCTCAAGAGGCTGGAGCGGCCCCAGGACAGGGACCTGCCCATCCAGAGCAAGCGGAGAAGGAGCGTGACCCCTCCAGAGGAGGAGCAGCGGGAGGCTGAGGAACCTGTGAGTGCCCTCCTTCTAGGGCGGGACTGGGCTTGGCAGGGCTGAGCGCCCACCCTCCAAGTCCACCCTGCAAGTCCTTCTCAGCCGGGTTTGTGGCAGAGGACAGGGTGCAGGGAAGGGGGGTCCTAGCCAGATGGGGCACTGAGGGGCAGCCTCACCCCTGACCCTGGCTGCCACCTGCCTCACAGAAAGCCCGCGTTCTCCGCTCAAAGTCCTTGTGTCATGACGAGATTGAGAACATCCTGGACAGTGACCACCGAGAACTGATCGGGGATTACTCCAAGGTACTAGCAGTGGGATCCCTCAGGAGGCTCGATCCCTTACTGACTGGCCCCTGAGCCCAGCAGCTGCTTCAGCAACTCCGTCTCTCCCCAGAGGCCCCTCGCTTTGTCCTTTGCATCTTATCCTTTATTCTCATCTAGACTCCTCTCTCTCACTCTCCTTGATATCCCGACTCTACCCAAATCTGTACAGGGCATCAGTGGTGTCTCAACCTTGGAAAACATTTCCAAACCATAACATCTTGCTTGGAGCTTCTTTGGGCCTCATCCTGGGGCTTGCTTGGCAATACATGGGGGCAGGAGGCGTGGGGGTTCATCTCTTCTCCCCATCTTCATTTCCCCTTGGAAGGTTGTTCCCTGGGGATCAGACCCTAGAGGCCCCTCTTGGTTGCTATGAGAACCAGAGCTGAATTTGAAGGTCAAAGCAGGTGTGGCCTTTGGGCTTGGGAAAAAACTCCATCTTTTCCATCTTACCAATCTCACTTTCTCTCTCCCCTCTCTCTCCTCTTCCCTTCAGGCCTTCCTCCTACAGACTGTGGATGGAAAGCACCAAGACCTCAAGTACATCTCACCAGAAACGGTATGCAGGCATGAGCTATTTTCTGGTGCATTTGGGACTTCTGTTTGCTTGTTAACCTCCCCTGGGGTCAGGCTACGTGCATGGGTCAGCCCCTGCCTGCAAGCCTGAACTGCTAGAACCCACCTCCGTGGCCTCCTACAGATGGTGGCCCTGCTGACAGGCAAGTTCAGCAACATCGTGGAGAGGTTTGTGATTGTGGACTGCAGATACCCCTACGAGTATGAAGGCGGGCACATCAAGGTGAGGCAGGGTGACGGGAGAGGCCCTGAAGACTCACCCAGTTCTATCCTTCCTCTGCCCGGAGGATGAATCAGTAGGGGGTGGGTGCACCCTCTCATGGGATTCTGCCCCTCAGGAGGTGGGGTCACTCATCTGAAAGATGGGGACCGCATAGGGCAGGGTCTCCTACCTAGGCCTAGGGCTGTGGCCTGACCTCTGGCTCCTTTGGCAGACTGCTGTGAACCTGCCTCTGGAAAGGGATGCTGAGACCTTCCTGCTACAGAGCCCCATCACACCCTGTAGCCTGGACAAGAGAATCATCCTCGTTTTCCACTGTGAATTTTCATCTGAGCGGGGTCCCCGCATGTGAGTCCCAGCTCCGCCCAGCCAGCTAGTGCTGCTCCTGACCTTCCTCGCCCGGGATTGCGGGTGCTGGAGCCATCCAATGGCCAAGAGGCCCAAGCCCAGCCATGGCCCCATCTGGGCCTAGACCTATTGTCTCACCTGATACCTTGGAGCAGACCTCATCCCCGCTTCCCTGTGCATGGCACCCTCCTCCTGTCTCCCTCTCACTGTCCTTCCCAACAGGCCTCCCATCTACCCTCTGTCCCTTGCCGTCCCCCTCCCTAAAACCTAATTCTCCATCAGTCTCCATCAGTGTCCTTAAAGTCCAAGGGCCCTGTCCCAGTCCTCAGTGACACTGACCCTTCCAGAGTTCAATCGTCCTTTCCTCTCTCCACCTCCTCCTCACCAAGCCTTGTCTAGACCTTCTGAATCTACCTCTTGAACTTTGTCCACTTCTCTCCTTTCTGCCTCCCCTTTCTCAGCCCAGGAGAAATGTCTCTGACAGAGATTGAGCAACTGTCTTCTGGACACAGAACCCCCTTGATTTGCTTCGTTCCTTCTGTCTCCCCAACCTCTTCTGTACCCAGTTAGCCAGACTGATCTCAAAGAGTTCTTGTGGCTGACATTCCTCCACTCAAGCCTTCTGTGGTTCCCCAAGGCCCTCAAAGGAGTGGGCGCGGGGACCAGGTCCCCTGATGTACACCCCACTGCACGCCCAGCTCTGAACCCCACACCCCTGCTGGTCCCAGGTGCCGTTTCATCCGGGAACGGGACAGAGCCTCCAATGACTACCCCAGCCTCTACTATCCTGAGATGTATATCCTCAAAGGCGGCTACAAGGAGTTCTTCCCACAGCACCCGGTACCATGGGTGGGGGTGGCCATAGTCTCCGTGGGAGGGCTGGGCTACAGGGAAAGGGCTCGGCCAGGCGGTAGCCCTAGGAGAAGGAGTAGGGAGGACTGGGTCACCCCACCGAAGTTGCCCATTTCCCCGTATTGATCAACCCATCCCATCCTGCCCTAGACCTTTTGTGAGCCTCAGGACTACCGGCCCATGAACCATGAGGCCTTCAAGGATGAGCTGAAGACCTTCCGCCTCAAGACGCGCAGCTGGGCTGGCGAGCGGAGCCGGCGGGAGCTCTGCAGCCGCCTGCAGGACCAGTGAAGTGTTGGCAACTGTCCCACCCGCCTTTCTTGCCTTGTGCCGCCTGGGCGTCAGTTGCCCGGTGGCTTACAGGGCTGAGGGTCTGCTGTCTGGGCAAAAGACGGTGAGGGTGTCCTGTCTGTCTGCCCCAGTGCTGATCCCGTCTCACTCCAGTTATACTCCATATCCTGGTGACACCCACGACCCCACCCCTGGCACCCCTGGAAGAGCCCAGCCTGCTGACTTAGTGAAATTGGATTAAGTCTAGTTCAAAGGAAGTATTTTGTGTCTAGCAGGAGCCTTTTCGTTTTTTTTTTCTTTATTGTTTGGGTTAACCCTTTGTCTTCCTGTATTCAGAAAAGCCCCCTTTTTTCTAGGGGCTTTGTTTGTATGTATGAGGCTGAGAGAAAGCTACAGCCCCCTAGGATTGGCCACAGCTGTACTCTTCCCTGCCCTAGGATTCAGCACTGTGCCCCAGGCCCTCGACAGCACTCCTGAGTGTGTGCGCCATGTTCCCCTTTCTCTTTTCCTCTTTCCTGTCCCTCCATATGAACACCTCCAGCATAGACATGAGCTCTTACTCTTTCCTGTTTCAGTGTTATCTGTATGCTTGATTTGTCTTTTTTTTTTTTTTTTTTCCCCTCTCTGGATACCCTGGCACCCCTGGAAGAGCCCAGCCTGCTGACTTAGTGAAATTGGATTAAGTCTAGTTCAAAGGAAGTATTTTGTGTCTAGCAGGAGCCTTTTCGTTTTTTTTTTCTTTATTGTTTGGGTTAACCCTTTGTCTTCCTGTATTCAGAAAAGCCCCCTTTTTTCTAGGGGCTTTGTTTGTATGTATGAGGCTGAGAGAAAGCTACAGCCCCCTAGGATTGGCCACAGCTGTACTCTTCCCTGCCCTAGGATTCAGCACTGTGCCCCAGGCCCTCGACAGCACTCCTGAGTGTGTGCGCCATGTTCCCCTTTCTCTTTTCCTCTTTCCTGTCCCTCCATATGAACACCTCCAGCATAGACATGAGCTCTTACTCTTTCCTGTTTCAGTGTTATCTGTATGCTTGATTTGTTTTTTTTTTTTTTTTTTTGCCCATCTCAGGATAGTCACAGGCTAAGGTTTAGGTTCCCCTGTCCAGTTGGGGTTAAGGACTCAAACTTTCATAACCCACTTGGCCCTGGCTTCTGTTGCCTCAGAAAGGGATGTTATTATCTGTGGAGACCCTTGGGTGAGGGCTAAGGCCTGCATCCTGAGCCCACTGGAAGCCCAGCCCTCACTGCTGTGAACCCTGGGGCCTGAACCATGTCAGAACTTGCTGCTGTCTTGTCATGGATGGACAGATGGACGAATGGAAGAGTGGATGGATGGATGGCCATGGATGCACAATGCCTTGTCTACAAACCGCTGAGGTGAAAGTGTCTCAGTAAGGATGACAGCCTGCAGCAGGAGTATACGTGTATCTGTGTGGACAAAATCTTTACACTTTAAGGTTTGGAGATATTCAAAAGGAAATGTCATGGAAGCAGCTAAACCAAGGCCAGCAACCTCTGGATTCTGAATCTCAGGAAATGGGCAGGGCTTCTTGAAGGCCCTGATGAGTCATCTGGTAGGGTCTTGGTTCAATAAAGCACTGAGCAAGTTGAGTAAGGCAGCATGTGTCCTGTGGAGCCCTTGACAAGACTGTGGCAGACACTGATGGTGGAATATGGCAGGGGCAAGTCAGCAGGTTGAGGCTGGAAGACTCCTGGGAAGGTGGGCTCATACCCTCTTCCCAAGATTTTGGATTCAGCCTCCCCATTTCCCTCATCTGGCTGCTCAAGCACTTCTGGGCTCACCCTTCCTAAATTCTGCACCAAAAAGGCAAGAGAGATGCCATCAGTTCTCTCCTCTAGAATTGTCAGTGGCTCACCATTGCCCTCAGATAAACTTAAAAGTCTCATAGCCCTTTAGGACCTAGGCCCTCCCCAGCCTCATTCCTCACCTCTTGCTGAATCAAATCCCAGCAACAGGGTTGCTGTTCACATTTCCTTTTCTTTGCATCTGCTGTATTATCCTCAGGAATGCTCTCCGCAATCTGCTTTTCCTCTTTTAAGATTCGGTTTCAAATGTTAATTCCTCCCAGAAGCCTCCCTGCCCTATCAGCAGAGGTTCCACCACCTAGGAGGTGCCAAGTTCAAGATCAAGAGAGTGGGAAAGGGCCAATCTGGGAGAACCAGTCCCAGGCCAAACCTGGGTGTGTCAGGAAATCCTCTTGGAATACCACAGCAAATAACTCTCCCCCTCAAATATGAGCTGTGATTGTAGGGAATCCTTTGCAAATGTACAACTAAGACGCTGCCTGATACAGAGTGCACACAGAACATGTCAGGTGTCATTACTGCTTTCTGTCAAAGTTCATCTACCTTGCCATGATTATTTGCTCCATTTTGCAGATGGGAAAACAGGCTATTTCTTGCCAGAGCAATAAGAAGGGACTTGAGATTCCTAGGCTGGGTCTAAAGGACACTTACCTGGTCTCTAGCTTGTCCCCCTGCCCACCCCAAGTTTCTTATGCTCCAAGGCTTGGTCTTCACTCTTGGTCTAGAGCCCCCTGCAAGGGCACAACCTGTGGGAGGGCCAGTATCTTGGGGGCCGGACTTCTACTCAGGAAGAGGAACTCTGGAAGCCTCTAGAAGCCCCCTCCACTGAGCAGGCAGCTGACACCAAGGCCAGCTTTATTTGGGTGAGGATTTGCCCCAGAAAAAGGAAAATATCTGTGCAGACGCCTGAGAAAGAGGGAGAAGTAGAGGGAGGGGAGAGAGTGAGCCCTGGGCACGGTTATGCTGAGACTTGCCTGTACCACCCTGAGGGCTCAAGTGGTCTGGTTTTATGAGGAGGAAGGCAGCTGGATGCTCAGAGGGCACTCAACTTACCCCAGGTTACACAACAGATACAAGCAGAGCAGGTATTACAGCTGCCCAGGACTCTCCCACTCACCTCCTACCTCTGGCCCAGAGGGCCAAGGTGGTGGGGCTAGGCTGCCTGGCTTCTGATCTGAGAGTCCTCTTACCACTCAGAGGTCCATCTGGATCAGGCCACGTGGGGAGGAGAAAGTAATGGGTGCTGAGTGTCTAACACCGCCCAGACTGTGCCAGGTGCTGACAGCTGCAGCCATATCTGCCCCGCTCATAACCCATCAGAGTCATAGCTGCTGTCAGTCTGCTCCAGACACTTTTACCTAGTGTCTTCTACGCACACCAGGTCAGTATTCAGCTCATTTTGCAGGGGAAACAGAAGAAAGAGGAAGGCAAGGAAGGGACCCTGGTCAAGTGAGGATGAAACTCTTCCCTGAGAGAAGGCCCTGGTGCTGACATCTACCTTGAGGGATGTGCGGGCCTGGGTCCGGTAGAGGGGGCGCCAGGGTTCGCCTCTCCAATTCGGGTCGGGCCAAGACCTCCCTGCCCCTGGGAATTTCCGGGGTTGGGGCAGAGGTGCTGCAACCCCCTGTTCCACCAGGAAAAGAAGCTATAACTTTATTCCTGGTTGCTCATAAAGAGGAGTGGATCAGTCAAGGAAGTGGTTTAAAATACTGGGATGCCAGCCAGTTTTAAAGGTTGTTTTACTTGGGCCAAGGTGGGGCAGTAATTCCCACCTCTGGCTAGGAGCCTGGGAGCAGCCACGTACAGCCGACTCACAAAGTTAAAGAGCTGTGCAGGGCAGGGCCCAAGTAAGGAGCCTGTGCCAGGCCTGGCAGAGTCAGGAGGCATCACTGGGCACTGGGCATTATCGGATTTGCTCACCAGATAACTTGCAATGACAATTTAAAAGTTTTCTTTTTAAATTGGGGAAAGATTGACATTTTCTCAAAGGTACACATCTTAAGCATAAAGCACAGATGTGAGGAGGCACCACACGGCTCAAGATGTCAACATTTCTAGCATCCCAGGAGGCTCCCTCTTGTTCCCTCCTAGTTACCCACACTCTGTGGTCACCACTAGTTTGACCTCTATCATGGTAGATTAGTTTTGCCTGTTCTTGAGCTTCATAGAGATGAAATCATACTCTTTTGTGTCTGGCTTTTTTCACCCAGCATTATGATTTTGAGATTCATCATGTTTCTTTTAGCAAGAGTTATTCTTGTTCATTGCTGTGTAGTATTCCATTATATGGATATATATATTTTTAATTGTGGGATATTCCTTTTTACTTATAAGATTTGCAAATAATTTTTAAAAGGCAATAGTCAATGTTGGGAAATATTTTTTTGACTTTTTTTAAACATCTTTATTGGAGTATAACTGCTTTACAATGGTGTGTTTCTGCTTTATAAGAAAGTAAATCAGGTATATGTATATATTCTTAAATTGAATTATTCATTCTACTTTTTTCTTCTGGCCTTTATTTATTTATTTTTGCCATGCCACATGTCTTCCAGGATCTTAGTTCCCCGATCAGGGATTGAACCCACTTTCCCGGCAGTGAAAGTGCCAAGTCCTAACCATTGGACCACCAGGGAATTCCCTGGCCTTTAAATCTTTTAAAAATTAAGGTAAAATTCACCCTCTTGTGTATACAGTTCTGTGAGTTTTGACGAATGCACAGTTTGGTAACTGCCACCACATTTAAGATATAGAACATTTTCATTTTGCCCTCAATGAATAATTTGGGACTATTTCAAATAGTGGTGGAACTATACCAGGAGTGGAATTGCTGGCTTGTAGCATGTGTGTTTTCCACATAGTTCTCCAAGGTTGCTATACCAACTTACCTTCCTACCAGCAGTGTCTGAGAGTTCTGTTGCTCCATATTTTCATTAAGATTGGTAAATTTTAATTTCTCTCTCAACCAGAAAATATGGTTATTTATAGCAAAAAGCTGTGTTAACTGTCAAGTGCTGAACCTACATGCTGTGATGTGGCAGTAGCAGGAGTTCCAGCCTGTTTTCTGATTCTCCTACGTTGAAATACTGATCTTAGTCTTAATTGTCTCTCAAGTCAGATTCTGAAAAAAGTTAAAGTGACTCTTTGGAGTTGACTGACTGTAGATCACTGGCATGAGTCTTCCAGTGACAATAGCTCACAACCACCTAGAAAACGTGATTTTTAAAAAGTCTTTATCCCTGGAATTGAACACAGAGGCAC